ATGAAGGTGCTTGCTAATGGACAGTTGCGAAGAGAGTGATAGCAGGGAGAGTCAAAATAGAACACGACGATGACTACGATTCAGCATCGTCGATATGCATCACTCGTCGATCCATGTTGTGATATCGTACTGCGTGCAAGGGTTCTCGATATCTCTCTTTGACTGGATGAGTCGGAGTTCGGGAGGATTCCTAGGAACTCCAGGACTAACACGAGAAGCAACAACATCCATGCAAAATCTGTCAAAGGGTTTCCTAACTTCAATCGAGCGCATGTGACAATACGATAATGCCTACTGATGGATGAATACAAGAAGTAACTGCATTTCGATGAACCACTAAAAATTTTAGTGGTTAATAGAAAACCATAGTGGTTTAGTCGTTCATGATGGTTCATCGTGGTTTTAGTCTGAAACCATCCCTCCAAAGAGTCTCAGAAGCGCGAGCGTTGCTCGCCCTCGTTTGTCACCACATAACGGTGCTTACTGAGCCTCATGATAATCTCTCGTCCGATTGATGACACTTTGCAATACACTTCCAGTCTTAGTCATAGCTTCCTTCACTCCGAACTGTGTATAGAACCTACCAGGCGACCGAACTCACTTCAAACGCACAGCATAGCTCAAGCCTTACGCCATAAGAAGGGCAGTGGTGAGGTCCCCTGTACCAGTGTAGTTGCCCTCAATCAAAGGTAACTCCATGCGGTACCGTGTGCGTCTACCACTCTCCTTGTCAACCTCAGAGGCGAGCATTATAACCTTGGTCGCTGACTGGAAACAACACGACTGATCCACGCAAGCGGTACTCATGGGCGCCTCGTTCTCAGAGATGGAAAATGTCTTGTCGCCTCTACGACACGAACACCCGAGCAAATCCGCATTCACATGCATCGCCTCTAGAGAACAGACGTCGTAGTTCCACATAGGCACTACCGCGCTAATATTTTCCCCTACATAAGAGGTAGACGCGAACCAAGCTCGTATTTTTTGCCGACTACGGTAGTTCAGAAGCAGTTGAATAACTCCTACTACTAATAGTGATCACGAACGCTGATATGCCGTGTTGGAATATATGTTCGCTCTCCTCAGCTGAGTCCAAGAGTATCCTCACTAACTACAGAATTAGCATACAAATGTATAGAAGCTAATGAAAATTTTCCAAATTTCCTCAGAATCATCATGTTGTCACAGCAAGTG